TTGGAGTACTTGGAGGATCATGGGACTTAGTAAGTAAGGTTATAAGTCCCTTAATTGGGGTTATAAGTAAATATAAGTATAGTTACCTTAACTATAACCCTACTTACTACGTCCCATGATCCTTGAAGTAAGGGTTCGGGCTGAGGATCTAGAGCTGAAGGCCCAAACCCGGCACTGAGCGCCAAGCGATGAGCGACAACGCCGTCTTCGCGTCGTGCAGCGCGTAGTCGCCCTGGTCGAAGACCAGACGCAGCAACGTGCCGATGCGGTCTTGGTTCAAAGCACCTCAACAATCACAAGCGGTGATGACAGCTCAAGAACGGCGCGAAAATCACAACAAGAGGAATCTTAGATTCTGATAGCAACGACTACCACGAAATCGGAACCCCCAGCCCCTTGCAACTCCCCAAATCCTAAACGCCCTGCACTGCCACTCGCAACCGCGATCCTCAACCCTCACCCGTGAAAAGCGAATCCCAAACACTAAACCCTGAACCCTGAATTCTACACCCTAAAACCATCAAAGACCCTAAATCCTAAAGCAGGAACTCTTAAACCCCGAACCCTAAACCCTAAACCCTAAACCCAAAGCCCTAAACCCTAAACCCTAAACCCTAAACCCTAAACCCTAAAAACCCTAAAAACCCCAAACCCTAAACCCTAAACCCTAAACCCTAAACCCTAAAACCCTAAACCCTAAAACCCTAAACCCTAAACCCTAAACCCCAAGCCCTGAGCCCTAAAATCGGCCTCCTGCACCCTGCGCATTGCCCTCGGCCGTGAAGAGCTCCAGAGCCCGCTTGCAGCACCTTTTCATACGTAAAAAGGTTTAGGGTTTAGGGTTTAGGGGTTAGGGGTTAGGGGTTAGGGTTTAGGGGTAAGGATGGGTTTAAATCGAGTTTTCTCAAGGTTCTACCAGGGCTTCATAGGCCTTTTTAGCGGGCTAAACACGGGTTTCTGCACATGCGGGGTGCCTACTTTTCTTCAGGACCTGGGTTATTCTAGGGAAATCTGTTTACCCGTAGGCGGCCCCATAGTAGTTCCTTTTTGGGATTACCTAATAGGATCCCAAATATAAGCCACGAAAAGGAACTACTATGCGGCCTATGGGTAGGTCGAAAGGTTTCATGCGGAATTGGTGTTCAGGCTTTTTTAGCTTGAGGATTAGTGGCAGATTCTACCTATACGGGTTGACAGGTAGCTATAACCCCAAACCCCACGACCCCCGTACAAAAGCGCTAAACGGACTGCACAAAGCCCGACTCGACATCAGCCCCAATGCTATATCTTGGTGTTCCTTATCATGATTATAGTAGAGTATACCCTAAAACCCTATTCTACCTAATTATTAATGCTTCTACATTTAACCCTACACCCTAAACCCTAAACCCCTAAACCCTAAACCCTTTAACCCTAAACCCTAAACCCTTTAAACCGAACTCCATTCCCGGCCCAGGTGCTTCTGCATCAGCGCTTCTTCGGTCTCCTTGTCACGAAAGGCATGGGCAAAGGGAGCTTTGGGGGCTTGATTGAGGTGTTAAGGCTTTGGGTTTAAGGCTTCGGGTTTAGGGCTTAGGGTTTAGGGTTTTAGGGCTTTGGGTTTAGGGTTTAGGGGTTGGGGTTTAGGGGTTAGGGTTTAGGGGTTAGGGTTTAGGGTTTTGAGTTTAGGGCTCAGGGCTTTGGGGTTTAGGGTTCAGGGTTTAGGGTTGGGGCTTTGGGATTTAGGGGACAAAGGTTGAGGGTATCGGAATAGGGGCTTCAGGGATTGGCTTGGGGAGGGGCCTTCGGGCTAGGGCTGAGGGTGTGATCCTTATTGAGCTTACAGTTTAGGGTGTAGGGGTTTAGGGTTTAGGGGTTTTGGGGTTTTGGGGTTTAGGGTTTAGCCCTAAACCCTAAACCCTAAACCTTAGGGGTTTAAAAACCAGACAAAACAAATAAAGTCTGCGAGATAGCGCGCCCTTCCCGGCTTGGGGCCGCCAGGGCTCCGACAGCTGCAACTTCTCAGCCAGGCGCTGCGCCGGACATCCCCGCGGAAGCCACTCCATGACCTGGGAAGTCAGAGCGTTTAGGGTTTAGGGTTTAGGGTTTAGGGTTTAGGGTTTAGGGTTTAGGGTTTAGGGTTTAGGGTTTAGGGTTTAGTCAGAGCCATGGTAGAAAGTTTAGGACCTTTGGGGTTTAGGGGTTTAAGGGTTGGGGTTT